CCGCGCCAGCTGTGGGTGCACAGGAAGTGCGCGGAATACAGGTGTGTACGTGCGTGTGCATGTTGTTATTGTTGCTATTGTTGTTGTTGTTGTATTGACATTACACTCATATGTCAGTTGCTATTCCCGATATCAAGCTAAGACTCGGTCCGTGGTCACAAAAATGCTAGAACCATTAGAAAATCTAAAGAACACGCAGATTTAGCAACAAAACGGTATACACGTGCGTGTGTTTTTTGGACTGGCATCGGCCGCGCCAGCCGGCCGACCTAATGAAAATACGTCAGTCTATCGCGGGATATGAAACATGAACACGGTTCCTACTGATAGGTTTCTACCGACGTGTGGTTGTGCGTGTCTTTATGCATAGGCATCGACAGCGCCAACAGGTTTTGCTAAGGAAGATACATGCGGGTCATATCGCAAAACGCATGTTCCTGCGTTGTGGTATTCTGTTGCTGATGTTCGCTGCTTGCCCTCTCTGCTGAGCCTGTCTTTGTGCTGTCGCTCTTGTCGACTCTTGCCTTGCTGCGGGCTGCCGCTCCTACCGTAAATGACACAAGATTACACACCCCCTGGACCGACTTTTCAAATCTCGATTTCTCAACAACAGAAAGAGTCACGGCGCCGAAAACGGCGGCGTTGGAACCGTCTCGTCGAGAGCTTTCCGAAAATGTATCGTTTCGTTTGTGCATCCTCTTCGTCGTGGAGTATTCGAACTTTTTTTTAAAACCGGTCCAGGGAGTGTGTTATCTTGTGTCATATACGGTAGTTACTCTGGATGCTGCTGCAGCCGTTTCTTGCGCTACTCGCACCCTTGCCCCGCCCCTCCTCGCCACCAACACACCGTAGGTGACATGATATGTCACACGCCGTGGACCGGCGGACTTTCGTAGCTCGATTTATCTCCACAACAGATTAAAGGCTGGGCGGTGCCGGTAACGGACGGCACGACAAAAAAAAGAAGGCGTTTTAGATAGGACACGTGTGTGTATCCGTATCCAAGTTAGCAGCATGGCAACGAACAGCACCTCATGAGAATAATCACACGTGTGTGTGTGTGTGTGTGTGTGTGTGTGTGTGTGTGTGTGTGTGTGTGTGTGTGTGTGTGTCCACGTAACCAACCGAGTTAAGCAACGTGGCAACGAACGGCATCAAAAGAATGTGTGTGTGTCTTACGTACTAGCATAGGCCGCGCTAACCGGCCGACCAATGATTAGGCGTCAGTCTCAGTGCGGTTTAAAACACAAAATGCTTCTAGAGGCCGCAATCTGGGATCCTGTGACCGAGCGTCATGGGGGAGTCTATGCTACTCTCCGGATGAAAGACAGATACCGTCGTAAGAGCAGGTGGGTGTGTGTCTCGTTAACCAAGTTGGCAGAATGGCAACGAACAACGCCTTATACACGTGTGCGTACCCCCGATACGAAACACAAAAGCCCCGAGGTGGAGGAGGTTGACGGAGAGCTCGAGAACGTGGCCAAGGCCATCAGGCGGGGCGCCTCGCTCAAGTGCTTCGCCTGCGGCAAGAAGGGGGCCACCGTGGGGTGCTTCAACGGCCGGTGCAGGACTGTGTACCACGTGCCGTGCGCGAGATCGGTGAGTTGTTGTGTATGTGTTTCGCCTTGTTTTTGAAATGTGTCTTAGTTAAGAGTGTTTTTTTTTTTTTTTTCGAGGGGGGAGGGAGGTGATATCTTTTGCCGGAGTGTTTTTTTACGGAGGAGTTTTGCCCATCGGCAAGAACCTGTGTTGGGGCGGAAGAACTTTTTCAGCTCGAAAGATCACGAGGGGTGGAGGGTGCGGGGATCGGGCGTTCGCCTGTCACGGACGGGGCAAAGAAGGGTGAAAAAGATCCAAGATAGACAAACGAACAGGTGCCGTTGTCTTTGTCTCCAATCCCCACGACTGCTGTACTCCAAGCACCCGTTTGTTCGCTGCCCGACCGTGAGAAATCCCCTTTCAACCAATCAGCCCCGGCGGTGCGGTGTGCTTGCCCCCAGGCGTAGATTATTCTCCGGATTTCCGGCTGAAGCGGTAGCAGGTGCAGGGAAGTGTGTTCGTTTTTCGTCTGCCGTTACGGATGTAGGAGGTCAACTTTCGCGTACCCTTGGATGTTGCTTTCAAGCAATTATGTTTTTTTACTCCGATTTCGTGCGCCGTGCTCATTTGTTCATTTTTTTGTTGCCGTTCGTGCAGCACGCCGGGTGGGACTTCGAGAAGGCCGACAGAGGGAAGGAGTTCTACTGCCTCATGCACCAGGAGGGCAAGAGGTGCGCCGACCATGATGATTAGTGTTTTTGCCGCGATGACACGCACGGTTGAAGGCAGTGCTTGTTGGCGAAAGGGAATACGGGGGTCACTACGAACGGAAAGTTGGGGGGGGGGGAGGGAGGGGGGGAGCAGTGCACTTGGGTTATCTCGCGAACGCGCCCGTGGTAACCACCAAGAAATGGGACTACTGTACCAGAATTTGTTTTGATCCTATCGCGATCAGGTGACTGCAGATGAGGCCTACCGTTCACGCACTACACGTTGGCATGTTTGTTTCAACCCCCCCCCCCCCCCCCCCCCCCCCCCCCCCCCCCCCCCCCCCCCCCCCCCCCCCCCCCCCCCCCCCCCCCCCCCCCCCCCCCCCCCCCCCCCCCC